TGCTTCTTAGAACAGAAATCAGGCTTTATTCATTGTTACTTACAGACTAATAATAGCAATACATAAAATTCTAAACACTAAAAGAAGGTACCTGCTAATTTGTTTTTAAGAAGGAGGCATTTGATTCAGACAGAACATGAAGTGTTAGGATACAAACATAAAGGGCAGAACATTTAAGATAAGGTGGTTTTAAGAAATTGAAGCTACCCATGGATGGTATAAGCTATCCTAATGACATTGACCTATAATTTTCATTCAGTGCAATTGGTATAGTGACTGCAAATTAACAGATTAAAAGCAACTATTATGTGATAGGTGTTATGTTGGTTATAGTAGGAGATGATTATCCTAGAATATTTACCAATTCACTTGAGGAGCAAATGAGAGAACAGCATCACTTTAAATTAATTTCCTACTGTACAAAATAACTAATTTTTTGACACTGAAAATTCACCTCTTCTAGATGTTCTCACTGATCCCAGTGTTTAATATATTAGCACAAGTTTATATTTTTGCTCAGACAAATTATTCTAATACAAAATATTTACTTGGTAGGTAACAAAATAACATCTAGAATGATGGTAAAAAGAAAACTTTAAAAAATGCCATGTTGTATAGAAAGATGATATCACAATTCTGAGAACATGTTTAGTTATTATGCGATTGTTTCTAAAATGGCATTTCAACTCCATGGATCTTATATAGTACATGCTTTGACCATTATTTGGAAAAGGACGCATCTATCATTTATATGTTATATAGACTTACAGATATGTGAGGTTGAACAATTAAGTTTGCAAACTCATCCTAGAAAAAGTGCTCCCTACCTCACTGCTGAGTGTCCCTGCAGTCAGGACCAAGGTACTGCCCTTGGGAAGCTATGCACTGACACCAGTGCCTAATCCCTTCTTCAAAGTAAGTTTGGAGCTCTTTTGCTGGAATGCCCATCAGAGATGTCCTTGTATGAGATTTGACAATTAAGTTTGCAAACTCATAGAAAAACTGTGATGTATGTAGCACTTTCTCCAGGATGAATTCACCAACTTCATTATCTAACCTCATTCGTATTTGTCTTTTCTGATCAAAGGCTTGTAACATTTTAGATAGTTCTGATTCCTCCAAGTGAAAGCCAGTGAGTTTGTATTTTATTACTCATAGGCCATTTGAATTTATCTCATGGGTGATGTTTTTCAGAATAACAGTCTGAAATAATTTAATGACTCGTTTCCGGAATTCCATGAATACAATATAAAGGATGAGTTTACTCTGAGATGCCTTAATGAAGAGCTTCAGTGTATCTCCTTCTGCTAGCCTTTAAGAGAAATCTAATGATTTTTACTCATTATCATTATAAAAGCTATATAAGTCACGCCATGTATATTTGCATATGTTTACTTTTACTTCTTAATCACTTTGGGAGACTGCTAAATATTTTTCTAGGGACAATTCAAAGAAGAAAACCTGGTCTGCCTTAAGCTAATCCTATACAGTATGGTGAGCATTGGAACTTGATCACCCCAGCACTGTCACGGATTGTTGGTCTTTAATCTCCAGAAACCAGTGCTGCAGGAGCATATGTTTGCTTTCCATTTGTAGCATTCAGTACTTTGTTAGCCCAAGGTGAAGTCCAGAAGATTGGGTTTCTTAAGACCGGCAGTAGCCAAGAAGTATATAGAATATGCTGCTCCACTATGTACTTCCATCAAATAAGCCTTGATATGTTATTATCAATCTCCAAACACTCTGAAGAGTTCTTTAAATGGGCCTGTGCGGTAAAACAGCTCAGATTTTATGGTGTGAATGCTCATATGTGTTCGTTTAATATCAGCAAAATGGTATGCAACTAAATAGGCTGTTCATTCATTTTAATAATTCTTATTTTAAAAAATGTTAGTTTAATTTTTGTCACAGTCTTCCGGGTACTGTTTCAAGCATTTTGTAATTTGTGTTCTGTGGGACAGGTTTGTAAATCAGCTGCTTTTATTATTGTCCCAATTACAGATGGAAAAAATAAAGGATAAACAAGAGGTGAGGTAGCTTGGGAAGAACTCGTACAATTGGGAGAAATATATAATGAAGAAGCCTTGGATAATTCTTAAGGTCTACCTTACTGGGTGTTTTCTTATTCACTCGGGAAATATTTATGAGTTAGTGTCAACTGTGTGCCTGGCACCAGGCCAGAAGCAAGAGACAGAGGTATAACGCAATGTATAACTTTCCAGTGAATAAGCCTCTGAATAAAGCATCTGCATAAACACTCACCAGCCCAATCCACATGTACTGAATAATTGTTTTATTAATTCAATAATATTTACTGAATGCCAACTCCCTACCAAGTATTGACTAGCAAAGACTGTCAAGTATCTGGCATTTTGGCATAATCTATAGTTCTTACCAATGTTTCCATCTGTTGGACAACTAATAGGCATCTCCTATGCAACCTTGTTGAAAGGCCCCAGATTTCCCATTCCTTTGCCTGCAGGTAGCTTCTTTTATAAGACTTACAGTGATGGACAAAAGAAGGTAAATAACTAAGGAAATAAGGGAGACAGGGAGCTGGAGGACCAGAAATACGATTCATTTAGACCAATGGTTCTCAACCTTCCTAATGCCTCCTAATGCCGCGACCCTTTAATACAGTTCCTCATGTTATGGTGACTCCCAACCATAAAATTTTTTTACTGCTACTTCATAACTGTAATTTTGTATAGCTAGCCTAGCTAAGTAAGAATCTCTAGCAGTTTCTTAGGCACATAAAATGAGGACACAGTGTCCTTGGTTTGGAGGTTTAACACTCTGTATCAAGGGAGTGCCTAGCACCTACTGTTGACTGACCCAATAAAGGACAGTCTCTACCATACAATATACTGTTGTTATGTCGGAAAACCCAGTGAGTCTCTTGGTGAGGACTGCCTTCATAGGAAGTGATCACCTTCTTGTTTCATAAATTCCTTCTTTCACGTTGATGTATGGCAAATTCGATTTTACAATGCATTTCTAAGTGCCTGGTTTGATTCTAGGAGCTGTGGTCCTTCTTTTCTTATTTTAAACTGATTTATCAAAGGTAAAACTGTCATCGACTTGTTTCATAATTGAGAGAGTGGCACAAAGAACCACTGAGGAGTTCACATTTGAGCTGGATGCCTGGGCTCAGAGTTTCCATGGCCATGTTAGTATGGTTGAAACTGTAGAAACAGTGCCGTTATCCTTTGGGATGGTCGCCTCACTTCTTTGGATTGAACAGAGAATATTATTGGGAAGGACAAGCTCTTCTCTGAGAATTTTCTCAATGCCAGAAATGTACTTTTAAATCACGAGCCTAAAATTCACTTTTAAATCAGAGTTTTAAAAGAAAATGATACTCTAGCAAAACAAAGGGCTCTGGTTTAGATGATGCTCATAAATGTTGGTGTATTATACAATCATTTAAAACTGCAGTATTTTGATTCTATACAGTTTATGGTATTTGCCTCTTAGAAATCATTAGCTATTATCTAAAAGCCTATAGTTACGGTGTCAGAAGTTCCAATGCTCGATAACTCTTTGCAACAAAAGGGTGATTCTGCATCAGGTAAAGATGAATGCTCTTATGCATAAACAGAACTGCAGCTTTCTCAGAAAGTTCATTCATATCCTGAGCTGTGCTGTGGTTGACACAGATCATTAAATTGGGGGTATCCTTGTTCTTTGAGAAAAATAATTTGCTTCCCCTATTTTTAGATATTCAACTCTCTCACTTTGGAGGAAAGGTGGTGGTTTATTAAAAATCATCTGGAGTTAAAAGTAAAAAAATTAGTATTCATGGTGTCCTTGTTAAACTAACTAGTCACATGTTTAAAGGCCAAGAACGTAAACAGTCTTTTCAAATTGGTTTTGTTGCTTTTGAAATTCCGGGAGGAATATACATTCTGCCTCCCTGCTACACTCATAAAAATTCAACTATTCAGATGTAAGAATTGTTTGAAGACACCAGTGTGATCTCTCATCACATGTAATATATATATTACACATGTAATGTATGCTTTTTATTTGGGGGACGTGGGGGGGAGTTGCTAAAACATTATTAATATTCACTGGATTTTATGGTATACTTACCTGCATATCACTGTTTACTATCTAATATATGCTTATTTATTGCAGTTCTGTGATTACGTACTAGTTAGGATTCTATGTGTGCTCATTTAGTAAAATTCTACCCTGCACTGTGTATTGAAAGTATCATTATAACAGAGAATGTGTCTTTATTATATAGAATCCCATCCCCAGGCACAGTGCATTGAAGAGTGTAGTAGGTGTTTAGTAAATAATCTTTGAATGAATGGAACCATGATTCCTAAATGCAGTGCGTATGTATCATGCATACTGTAAATTTATACCTGTTTTCCAAAAATATTGGCATAATGTTCCTTTGAGCTTTGTTTTGGAAAGATTTTTATGAAACCAAATATGTTCTAACATCAAATTTGGAAATAGGAATATGAATCATGAAAAGGGATAACTCATTTCTTCATAATCACTTCTCTCCTGACTTCAACTTTTTACATATGATAATTCAAATATTTTATACTGGGGGAGAGTTTCACAGAATTCAGCACTATAGTAATAATCTGCATCGCTTTTCTCTTCTTATTACCTTAGAGTGAACACTAGGATTACGTAATAACTTTATGTGATAATGTTTGATAGAATGAAATTTATAATCAGATAAACCTGAGTTTAAGTCCCAACTCTGCCAATTCCCAGTTGCAAGAGAATTCATGCTGTTAATTTCTCTAAGCATTCATTGTCTCATGTGGGCCTAATTACACTTCCCTAATGAGATTATTGTAAGGATTAAATGTGGTAACAGACTTTGAATGCTTAGTGTGGCTCCTAACACAAAAAGCCCTTTAGCTGGAGCTTTGTAGTGTTTATATGGTTCATATTCTGAACAGATGTTCTTTCTGGTTTGTCTGATTCTTACCTTGCGTATTCCTGTGTGTGTATGTTTCCTCCTGCAGATGGATATACAACCGATGACATTGAGTTTTACTGGCGTGGGGATGACAACGCAGTGACAGGAGTAACAAAGATTGAACTTCCACAATTCTCTATCGTAGATTACAAACTTATCACCAAGAAGGTCGTTTTTTCCACAGGTTTGTATCAGGGAAAGGGGTTAAAGGAAATGACTCTTCAGCTTATTTTGTTGAAAAAGCTCACTCATATCAGATCTGTGACCTAGGGAACGACAGCGACTCTAGAAGTCGCTACTGAAAACCCTGTTTCTTCTAAAGTTTATTGCTCCTTTTGGAATCAATATCAGTATTTTCTAGAAGGCTCCCCAAGCACAGCTGAGAGGGCCCTCTCTCTGTCTCTCATTTGGTCACAGGGCTAATTTTAGAGACAGACTACAGAAGGAGAGGTGAAGACCTGAGTCATAGTTGTCCTCCAACTTTATGCCTCCAATCGTATTGATTGTAATCCTCTGAGGCCTCCTGGGGAGAGCCAAGTTGCTGTTTGCTCAAGTCTAAACATAAGGAAATTCTCTAAAGACAGTAGGAAAATCTCACATTTTCCTCAAAGGATAATAATTTCTTTACACAATTTTACTTCTTGTTTGGGGTTAAAACCTATTTCAGATGTTAAGATTATCCTAATGCCTTCACCATCCTTAACCCCCAGCACTGAGATTTCACAATGTCACACTTGATTTCATAAGGACAATGTTTACATTTTTTTAAACAGAAATGCCTAGGGAAGTAATTATTTGGTAGACACTCATTTAGGGGAAAAATCGTAGACCTACAGGAATATCCTTCTTTATGGTTTTCTTATTGATATGAATCCTGCAGGGACAGAAATAGCTAATTCTGTAATTGCTCTTCCACTAAAGATTTGGAAACCTTGTGTTCCTGTGGATCACTACACGCAAGAGCTGTGTGACTTGGTAAAATACCAAGTTTTGTACAAATTTTTTTTTAAAGACACCAACAACAAACAATGAAAACTTTTCCTAACTTGTAGGTCCTCTAAATCCATGAAACTCTACAGAAATGATTCCTACTTAAACTATTCTTGTTTTCATATCAAGACACCTGGCTTAGCCCATGAAGAGTAGACAAGGCTTTCAAATTGTGGGAATATCTTCCCCCTACTTATCAATGTGAACTTTTTGTACTGCATTTTAAGGCTCTTCTCTGTTATTTATCTTGTCTGAAGAGCAGTCCCACAGATCACCATAGTCAAAAAGCCCAGATTTAAGAAACTGATTCTTCAGTTGTACCCCCCACAAATATTGCTCAAAAGCAGTGGGATCCCATTAGAATTCTGATGGAAACAATGAAACTATTAAGAAAAAAAGAGAGAGAGAGAGAATCCATACACATAAAAACCTACACAGACTTTCAGTCCTTGAAGCGCTGCCATTGATCACAGACTTAAAATGCATCCTGTCTTGATAAGATTTCTTTTACTCACGACATGCAGCCTTATTCTTGTACACATATAACACAAAACTTAGAGGATGAACTTAAATGAGGAATAATTGAGAGAGTGAACTGAGGAACTGCCCCAAATTATCTTGTCATCTCAAATGCAGACAATGGGAAACTTTGACCCAATATAAGAGGCTATGCAAGGAAGAGCTGGAATTCTTTTAATTGCTGGTGGGTACAGGATGTATTCCACACAGTAACTCCTGGTAATTAAAAACCCAGTGGTCACAATTACTTTTACATAGAAAGTACTCTTTACCAAGAACTGAAATTGGATTTAAGGATGATATACAGAGTGTTTATGGACCTTTAAGGAAAAGCATCCTGTAGATACTGCTTGATAATGATAATGTTCTGAAATTGCCTTTCTAGGTTCCTATCCCAGGCTGTCCCTCAGCTTTAAGCTTAAGAGAAACATTGGCTACTTTATCCTGCAAACCTACATGCCTTCCATCCTGATTACCATCCTCTCCTGGGTATCCTTCTGGATTAATTATGATGCTTCAGCCGCAAGAGTGGCATTAGGTAGGCCATTTGCATCCGCATGTGGAGTTTGACTGTGTGTGCTTGCAAGTGTGTGCGCACACATATGCTTCCTTTATCCTGAAATTTATGATGCATGGTGAGACTGAACGTTGCATCGTACAAGAATTTATCCATGAAACTTCGGGTGATCTGCTTCAGCTTTAAATTGATTTTACACAAATTAAAACTCTTCCATGTCAGAATTAGTTAACTGTATAGCTGTTGATAATGAAATTAGTTGCATCCGTTTGATATTTTTATGGAAACGTATTTATGTAGCATTGCTTGCATAGTTGATTAATTTGTAACTTTACTTCTTTACCTAAGAGGAGCTCCCTTTCATTTTTTTTTCCTTTCATTAAGTCATATACACATAGATCATGAATACATGTATGCTTTTGTGGGGTACAATGTGTTGATCTTTTTTATACAATTTGGAATGGTTACATCAAACTAAATGAGTAAGCAGAAATAATTCTAAACTGTCAATAACATTTTGGAGTAGCATGGCTGAGACAGGAGACCACAAAGTAAGAAAGCTGGGGAATCATCCATGGTCTTACTCAACCTCTGCCTGATGCTTTTTCTAAGACCAGAGGAGGAGAATAAATTATATTTCATGAACATTTTAACTCCAGACGAAGTAAATGTATGGCCTTTGCACATCTTTATTATTTTGAGTTTTGACCCCATTTTTCTTAAAATATTGCATTAAGTTCTTTACTAACATGATCTCAATTCAATTATTAAATTTCTTATAGAAATTCTTATGTCTTACAGACATTCATTTATTTATTCAACAAATATCTGTTGAACACCTGATACGTGCTAACCATACTAAGCACTGAGACACAGCAGTCTGCTTCTAAAAGTTATATCTAGCAGGAAAAGATAGACATTAAATAGAATGACCATGTAAATTCTATAATATGGCAAATCTATAGAGAGAATAAACAAAAGAAAAGGGACTTGGGTATGCCAAGGGGTGAAGTTTCAAATAATTTGGGCAGATCTCACTCAGAAGGTGTCATAACAGCAAAGACTTGGAGATGGAGAACCAGACAGGCACCTGATGATAATATTCCAGGCTACTACAGGAACAAGCCCAGTGTGGCAGTGGAAGGCGGAGAGGCCAGAGTGAGTTCAGGAGGAGCAGTAAGCGCAATGGGGAAAAGGGGACTAGAAGATCAAAAAGTGGTTCTTGGGCTATGGAAAAGGCTTTGCTTTTATTCTGCGTGAAATAGCCATTGAGCAAAAAAGAGACATGATCTGATTTCAGGTTTAAAGGGATCATTTTAGCTGCTGGGCTAATATGTATATTAAATTTTGTTGACTCAAGCATGGAAGGAAGGAGAAAGAATGGCCTTCCAGACTGAGTCAAGTCCCAGTGATAGCTATTCTTACAAGAATGCCTTAGAACTCCCCTGTGTAGACTAACCACAGTCATGATTATATACGTGCGTGTGTGTGTGTGTTTGTGTGTGTATTTTGTGTGTTTGTGTGTTTGTGTGTGTGGTTTTTGGCCAGGTCTGGGTTTGAACCCGCCACTTCCGGCATATGGGGCCGGTGCCCTACCCCTTTGAGCCACAGGCACCACCCATGATTTATATATTTTTAATTATGTTTATTCTCCCACAGCACTAAATGATCCCCTAGGGAAAGGTCCATGTTTTGTGTGTGATGTCTTGCATGTGGAATGGTGCTTATTTTCTGAATGAAATTATTAAATATCCTATTTTTCCAAAGTTAAAATCTGTTGTCCACTTTGTGTCTATTAGAGGTATAATAAATAATCTGTTTTCTTTTTAAAAGGAATTTTTAAAATGTCTTTTTATGTGAGCAGTTTATGAGATTCAGAAATACTTGAAAAGGAGATTTAGATAAGCCATAAAATCAGCATTGTCAGTTTTATTATGTATTCATGGTACAGGATAATCTGTAGTCGAATGGATGAAGAAACAAATGAAACTGAAAAATGTTTCAAAATGACCACTGTAAAGAGGGCATGAGAAATGTGACACTGATAACCTAAAGCAAGGCTTTCTCGGGCTTGCTCAGAATCAAATATTCAAATTTATTTTTTCTGTGGTTGTTTTATGAAGATGTATAAAAAATTAAAATCATGATACTTATTAGAGAGATAACATTAAATCAGAAAACTATGTCTTCTAAAAAAATCATAAACAGTGAAATTTTTAACTTTTGGGAAATGTTATTGGTTAAGTGTTTAGGGGTGAGGTCTCCTCAGTCACATTCTGATTCAAGAATGCCCCTGCAGCTGTCCATTTGTGTGACTGTGACCTCTGAACTTGGTCTGTTTTCACATCATTATTTTGCCACACAGCTGAACTTTATCATACTCAAGCCTCTGAACTCGCAGTGGTGTTACCATCCAATTACAGCTTTGAGAGAAACTCCTTCCCACTGTCAGAGATACCCACTCAACCGGATGAACCAATGTAGCCTCATCTAGTGTGGCATTTCCCATAAAGAATCTGAAAATATTTCGGTGTTATTTATCTGGGCCTTGTACGCCTAGTTGTCTAGTCCAGAAACAGGAGGGCTATGACTCCTGCTTCTCTGTTACCCTCCACCTCCGTTTCCAAATGTTAAAAGTCATTCATTGGAATCATCCATCTAATGTAACCATTGTTTTCAGTGCCATTGCTGTTGTTTTATGTTACATACTCTTCATCATTTATTTGATTATTCAGAAAACCTCTTAACTGTTATTCTTCATTCCTGCCTTATGTGCTTCTCCCCCATCCTCCCCAGGGCTGCCAGAGTGATCGTCCTAAATACAGTTTGTCCACATGCCTCAGTGTTTGAAGCTGGCCATTGCTTTGAATTTTTAGTTCAGACCTTCCCTGAGGCTCTGTGTATATGGCTCCCCATTATGCAGTCCTTACTTAACATCCATTTTTCTCTGGACTCTTCCTGTTCTGCCCATAATGGTTCTCCTAATTTCCTTTTAATGGGCTTTGTACTCTGCCCCCAACCAACCTTTATATAAAAACCCCTCGCCAGTGCCCTTAGGTCTACCGTAACGTTTGACCCTCAGTCCTTGCTTGTCTGAGTAACTCTCACTCATTCTTCAGGAATCAGCTTAACAGTCTCCATTTCCTGATCTGATCACAGAGCTAACCTAGGAACTTCCCCATATTCTCCACCTTCACCTAAAACACATGTCTGTCATAGCATTTAATTCACATTTCTAGCCCTCCACTACATTATATATAACACACATAACTATAAATATAAAAATATATTAAAGGATGTGTTCCAAAATGATTGATTTTTACTCTAAGTTAATCCATGTTTATCTTCAGAGCCTATGATAGGGCTGGTATATGACAAATGCCCAGTAAGTGGACGGTAGCATGTATGAGCAAGTGAGTGCAGTCAACCTTTCCAGCTATCATGAGAACAGAAGGAAGATTGTAACATTATTACACTAACTCTCTCTTTCTCTTTTTTTTCCAGGAATCACAACTGTCCTAACCATGACCACAATCAACACCCACCTCCGGGAAACTCTCCCTAAAATCCCCTATGTGAAGGCCATTGACATGTACCTGATGGGGTGCTTTGTCTTCGTTTTCATGGCCCTTCTGGAATACGCTTTGGTCAACTACATCTTCTTTGGGAGGGGGCCCCAGCGCCAAAAGAAAGCAGCTGAGAAGGCTGCTAGTGCTAACAATGAGAAGATGCGCCTGGATGTCAACAAGGTACATTTGGACAGCAATCCTTCCTTGCTTTTTAAGTTCATAGAAGAATGCTAGCTATGTCGTTAATGGCTTTGATTAGCAAACAAGGAAACCAAGGCCTGAGCCAGAGAATGGATCATTTTCCAGGTCATACAGATAATTAATGATGGAGGCACAATTAGGGCCCAAACTCAGAATGCAAGATTTAGATGTCCTTTCCATTAACGGTAGGGTTGCCCAAACTTTAGTCAACTGAACATCACTTGCATGATTTTTTTTCCATATATGAGTATAACGTCCATGTTATTTACTTTATATTTCTTTAAATTTACTCACTTTATTGAAATTTATTTAAAAAGTAAACTTCATGTCACTCCAATCCAAGTTACCTACTACTATAACCTTCAATATAAATAAATACACGCATACACACACATTTACCGTGCTGTTAACTTCCTAGTTATGACACACATAGAGGTAGGCTCCGGTCCTAAAATCTACAACATTCTGTTTGACTTTAAAAAGGAGATAACCATGTAGAAATGTGTGACCTCCCCACCACCAACAACAGGCTGAGATTTTCTCCTTGATGTAATCAGAAGGGTACAAGTATAGGCCCAAAAAGAGAAATAACTTTCTCTGTAGGTGACACTTAATGCTTTGCACATATGCCACTTATCATTGCAGTATTTGACTCTACGAGGCCATCATCTTACCTAAGTAGGGCCTGGTTGAAGAATTCCCACACAGTTATAAAGCCAGTTCTTTAAGTCAGTAGTTTTCAACCTTGGGTGCCCAGTGGAATGTCCTACAGATAATTAAAAATAGTGAAGCCTGGTTCTTCTGATTTTATTGCCTTGGAGTATGACTGAGCATCATAATTTTTAAAAGTTGCAGCCAAGTTTAAGAATCACCACTTTGAGGCCCAAAGAGTTCTCCCTAGTTACTCTCAAAATTAACACCACCTGGCTGCCCATTATATAGAATTTTCTATACTAACAGAAAAGTTGTGCATGTATTCCCCCATAGTTCAAATTTAGGCCTTTAGAAACCTTGTTTGAATACCTGCCCTAAATAGTGTTTATAACATAGTATGCAGTGATGGATTCAGTAAATAGTTACTAGTGATGAGACTTGGAAAACCATAATCCTTTTAAACCATCTGGAATATTTAGACATAATGATAATTGACCATTTTACTGTCTTTTTAATATTTCTAACTTCCATTTAATTCTGAGGGTAGCACACCATTAATAATCCCTACCATTGGGTTTTATCTGAAACAAACCCTGTGGAAGCTTCCAGCTCAGTAATGTTTTCCATATATCCATAGATCTGATAATTGGACTACTCTCTAATCAAAGACACTTTTTCTCAGATGCAATTTACAATGATGCAAATTTTAAGTATGGCCCTTGAAAGCCAAAAAGCCATGGATCTAGCAAATTATAGATTTCTTTCCCATGCTGAATATTTTACTTATTGGAATCTGTCAATAGATTCCAACCCACCATATGGCTCTCTCAGGCTATCAAATGAAAGAGTGCTTTTTAAACGTATTCTCCAATTTTCTTAATATAGTAGTCTTAGTAAAGAAAAGAGAAAAAATAAATACTGTCTCATATGACTGCAGTTTTAAATGAGTCTAAATGAGTTGCATAATGCAAGCCTGACTTAATAAGATGAAATCTGATCTCTTTTCATTTTCATCTACCCTTTTTTTATACCAATTTGCATTTAAATGACAAATTTAAGACCTAAGGCGTGGAGACTTTATACACACTAGACGTGGAGAGCTTCAGATGGTTCTAAATTGAATTGTGTGTACTGAGATGGAGGTAGAGAAAGGCTCACAGTCAGGTACTGCCCAGTGGTGAAAAGCCCATCCTCTTGGCTAAAGGAGGATTGATAATTAATAAGTGAAAGAATATGAGGGATCAAAAAAGATACCTAGAGATCGTCTACAGCAGTAGTTCTCAAAACAGGACATTTTTGTTGTTGTTGTTGTTCTCCCAGAGGATTTTTGTCAATGTCTGGAGCCATTTATGGTGGTTAAAATCCAGCATGAAAGGGTAGAGGAAATTCCACTTTGGGTTCTGGTTATATATGCAGAGGCCTGGGGTGCTGCCAACCACCCTGTAATACACAGGGTAGCCTCCCCATAACAAAAAAGTTAGCCGGCCCCAAAGCATCCAACTCTCTGGTTTCAAATATGAGAAATCGAAACCTAGATAATATGCTCATCCTGTTCTTCATTACTCTTTAACAAAACCAGTTTCTCCATTTTCTTTGACCAGCAGCATGTGTAAGGATCAAGCCATTAGTGGTTATGATCTAGCACAATGATTCTGAGCAAATATTTTGGAGTCAGTCAAGTTCAGTATTTGTCCTCCCATTTAATAGCTGTGTGACAGTAAACATAACAAAAAAAATCGGCCTCTCGGGCCCTTCAGTTCCCTCATTTATAAAGTAAATTAATTCCTCTCTCATAAGGTCATTGGTAAGATATAGTAATTAATGTGTAAAGCAAGCAACTTAGTTCACAGTACATGGCAAGCACTCAAAACTAGCAAATATTAATAAAATATTAAAGTACTATAAGTGCTAGGCATTATTAGTCTTTAAAATAAAATTTACTGTCTCTGGACTTATTGGGAATGCTTCTTATACATACCTTTTACGAGCTTTATTTAGCACGTAGGATGTAATTGTACCCTTAAAGGAGAGTATTTTTTAGAGAGGGATGTTTAATATCAGAAGTTCAAAATTCAAACTCAGGAAATCACTTTTCAAAGCGTTTAAGCTGTAAAACATTTATGGCAAATCAACTGTGGTCAAATTTTATCAATTATTCCTTAGGCTAGAATACTTACAAGCCATTCTTGGCTAGATTAAAACAAAAAAGTGACCACCTAACATTCTAGACTCCCTACAGTTTCTTTTTTCATCAAGCATGAAAGGTTAGAGGATTACACTGAGTTCTAATTACAGGATGCTCTCTTTTGGGTCAGGGTCATGAATAATGCCACTCCGGTTCTTATCAAGACTGTCCTTTCTTTCCAACTCTAATTCCAAAGTTATTTTTGCTTTTCAAAGATTAGGCACATATAATCAGCTAAGGATGGTTGGCTGCTCTGAAAAAATCAGAGGGGTTGAATTTTTCCCCTTCCTCTGGTTTCCTAGAGATGGAAGCTGTGGGTCAGATCAGGGAAGGTGATTTTAAAACTGTGCTCTGCCCTGAGGTCAGGGAAGGATGACAGCGGGAGTCCTGCCCAGGTGGGAGACCATTTTTGATTTAGGAAATACTTTTGCATTTTCCCATTCTCTTTTCTTATTTTCCTTACATTTTTGTTTTAAGATGGGAATTTGCAGCTCTTCAAATAACAATTCTTGTCCTGTGATTTGACTGATGCAAAAACTATTCTTATTAGAGAAGGTGAAATAGATCTCATAGCAAAGTTAATAAAATTTCTGAGATGTAATTAGGGTTTTCCTGTACTTATCCATTGTGCTAGCCAATGAAAGAAATGAAATAAAATTGAAAAGCTGATTCCACATGAGTCCATGCATTCAGCTTAGTTCATCTGAAATGACCCACCTACCTACACATCAAAGTCCATAAGCAAGTGTCACTTTCACAGCTGTCTTCTTGTGTCAAATCAAGTTGTAAAGTTCTAACATTTTAAAAAATAAGCTTCAAACTAAGATGAGGTCTAGTGTATAATTTTTCCCATGTGTCCTCTGGCATAGTTAAAAACATACAATTTCTATCCTAGTATTAAGAGAGTCCTTTGTTATCCTTTGCATTCTTCTATTTGTGTGTGTATATGTGTGTGTGTTTCCTCATAGAATTTGCCTTTGATTGGTTTCACCCACTGCTCTGGCTTGTAACCTCAAATTGTCAACTCCCTTTATTTTTCTTTTAAGCTTATTTGGTGTCTTTGCTTACTTTTCTGCTAATTACTGAGTATATGCCTACTTGAGAATCTAGTTTTTTTGCCTTGGTTCTTGGATATCTGAAATGCCTCCAGTAAGCTTATTGTATCAAGAAAACTAAACCCAACAGTTTTCTAAATAAAGCTTCACCCAAGAGATCTCCATTGGAGGGTGTTCTTTATTTTTCACTAATGAATTCTCTTTATGTTGTCCTTTATCCAGTGTGTCTATTCTTTTGTAATGCAAAGCCACTAAGACCCTTTCGAACTCTTTATTCCCACTGCCTGGAATTTGATTTTTTTATTAATACATTTTTTAAAAACAACTAATTAGAATTTTTATTCTCTGTTAACATTGGTCTTTCCTTGTGTTTTCTAAAGACCGGTAACATTTGTCTATATCCAATTTACTTGAACCATCCGTCCAAATCTAGTGGCATCAGTCGACTTAATTAGCACATTCTCTACTTTGTCTTCCAGATTTTTTATAAAGATATTAAACCAAATGGGACCCAATATCGATCCTTGTGGGACCCTACTGGAAACCTCTCCCCAACTAGACGGACTACCAATTACGATTTCTCTCTGTATACGGTTAGATAGCCAGTTTTTAATCCATTTATTTGTATTTCTGTCGAAGCCAATTTGTTTAGCTGTTCCCTTTAAAATAATGTATGGTGTCTTTGCATACATATGGACATGTATCCACTGAGACTTGGGGATAAGTTAAAATTTTTTCATGAGGCCCTGGTGGGTTTTTCCCAGGTTCATTTTATCAGTATAGCTATGGTGAGGCTGAGCTTCAGTACTCAATTCAGTAATTATTGTTGTGCTAGAAAAAAAAACTAAATGGACCATTTGGAGATTCATTTTCATTTATCCTGAGAGGAGAGAGTATCATTACTTCTTAGTTTTATTGCTGGGTTTTATTTTTGGGGTTTATGTTTTTATTTATTTCTTTGGGGTTAAGCAAGTAGACAGTTAAACATTTGTTCTCTTGGTTGACTCAGAGTTTAGGAATTAATTTAGGTTAGTTATTTGTGGCTAAGATTATTATAATGCATCAAGTCCTCATTGATTTTTTTT